GTTAGGTTCACATTGGTTCACGAAGTGACATCTTCGCTTTTAAAAAATTTTTAAATCATTTTATTAAGGGCTCATACAACTCTTATCACAATCCATACATGCATCAATTGTGTAAAGCACATTTGTACATTCATTGCCCTCATCATTCTCAAAACATTTCCTCTCCACTTAAGCCCCTGGCATCAGGTCCTCATTTTTCCCCTCCCTCCCTGCTCCCCCCTCCCTCATGAACCCTTGAAAATTTATAAATTATTATTTTGTCATATCTTGCCCTGTCCGACGTCTCCCTTCACCCACTTTTCTGTTGTCCGTCCCCCAGGGAGGAGGTCACATATAGTTCCTTGTAATCGGTTCCCCCTTTCCACCCCACCCTCCTTCTACCCTCCTAGTATCACCACTCACACCACTGGTTCTGAAGGAATCATCTGCCCTGGATTCCCTGCGTTTCCAGTTCTTATCTGTACCAGTGTACATCCTCTGGTCTAGCTTGATTTGTAAGGTAGAATTGGGATCATGATAGTGGGGAAGGAGGAAGCATTTAGGAACTAGAGGAAGGTTGTATGTTTCATCGTTGCTACATCGCACCCTGACAGGCTCATCGCCTCCCAGAAACCCTTCTGTAAGGAGATGTCCAGTGGCCCACAATGGGCTTTGGGTCTCCACTCCGCACTCCCCCCTCATTCACTATGGTAAGATTTTTTTGTTCTGATGATGCCTCAGACCTGATCTCTTCGAAACCTTGTGACATCTTTGCTTTTTAACACTTGAAAGAAGTCTTGGGCAGAAGCAAGACTTCTTGGACAGAAAGCAATGCCATTTGATTTCTTGAGTGTTGATTCCATGAGTTTCGTCTGGAGACCCAAGTGAAATAAAATCCTTGACTAGTTGACTTTGCTTCATTGACTATGATGCTGTTAATGGTCTAATTGTGAGGATTTGGCTTTTCTTTTCATTGAGTTATAATCCACCCTGAAGGCTGCTGCCTCTGAGCTTCATAATATAGGTTCCACAAGTAAAATAGCTTCCTTGGATTCTCTGTGTGAGCCAAGATTTCCTGAATTCAGCAATGATATCCCTCATTCGATATCCTCTTCTGAATCTAGCTTGCATTTCTGGCTGTCCCTAATTAATGTACTGCTGCAACCGTTTTTTAATTATCTTCAGCAAAATTTTACTTGCATGTATTATAACTTATATCATTTCATAATCAATGCATTCTGTGGGGTCTTTTATCTTGAAAAAGGAAAAATAAGGATCTCTTCTGCTTGACTAATTTCTTAATTTAGGGGCCCAGATTAGTCACTGCTGCCAATGTGGCAACAGTTTTTAGAAACCTGTCAAGTGGTCTTCTGTCAGTTTTTGGATCTTTGTTTTAAGTTAATGCTCTCGTACAGCTCACTGCCATAATTTCTTAATCATGTGCTACTTATTGAAAGGGTCAAATGTCAAAAATTCTTTTTTTGTCTAGTTCTTCCATCTTTTTTTTAATTTAACAATTTTACTGACCTATGATACTCATATCGTAAAAATCAAGACTTTCAACATATTAAAAAGAGTTGGGAAATCATCACCACAATCAATTTCAGAATATTTTCTTCACTCTTGTATCCATTTCACTTCCTCCCTATTCCCCCTAACCTCCTTAGCCATACCTCACTATGAGTCAAGTTAATGTCTCCATAGACTCACTACCCTGCATTTCATAGACAGACAAAATATTTATAAAGAGAAAAACCTAAATTGAAAAAAAAGCAGAAAAAATTTAAAAAGTAGAACAAATGCAAAATGGGTAAGAAGAGAGAACAGATGATAACATGTTGAATTGTAACCTAATTAAATAGGCATGAAACCACTTTGCAATATACACTCTGTGATAGCAAGGGCATTTACATTCCTGGTTGCGTTAGCCTGGGTACTTTGGAGAAACAAATCCACAGCAACTCATGGATAAGAGAGAGTTTTATGGAAAGAAAATGTGCATCATGAAAATATCCCAACCCTATGCTGCCCAAGCCCACAAGTCCAACATTAACCCATTCACCCAACAATAGTCCACAAAGTCCTCCACCTCACAAAACAGAGGCAATGATGCCGACTGCAGGAGGAAAGTTGAGTCAGTGAACCAATAAGCATCTCAGCACTAGCAGGGGTCTCCACATGGCTGCTCCAGCACCCAGGGCTGCATCGGGGTAGGTCCATGTGGCTTCTCCTTGGGGATGTCTTGTAGGAAGTCAATCTTACAAGCTGAAGCAGGGAGCTGCTAAGGAAGCTGCACCCTGGTGTGACCATCACAAACAAGAGACCCAAGAACTAGAAAGGCGAAGCTCACCACCCATTTATCCCCCCACCTTTCAATTAGCGCCACATGTGATTATCGGCCAGGTTGGCACAATTAACTAACTCACTGGTTATTAGTCAGAAGGGATTCTCCAGAGGCTTAATCCATAAGGGGACCCTGAAAATTGATTCTTTTTTTATTAAATACTTTTATTGAGGGCTCTTACATCTCTTATCACAATCCATACAATCATCTATTATGTCAAGCACATTTGTACATATGCTGCCATCATCATTTCAAAGCATTTTTTCCTACTTGAGCCTTTGATATCAGCTCCACATTTTCCCCCTCCCTCCCCCACCCACCCGACCGCATGAATCCTTGCTAAGTTATAGATTATTATTTTCATATCTTACATTGTCCTTTGTCTTTGTCACCCTTCACCAACTTTTCTGTTGTTCGTCCCCCTGGGAGGGGGTTTTATGTTGATCCTTGTGATCTATTCCCTACCCCCACCCCCTTTCCCTTATCTTCTTGTATCTCTACTCTCATTGTTGACCCTGAGGGGTTTATCTATCCTGGATTCCCTGTGTCGCAGGCTCTTATCTGTAGCAGTGTGCATGATCTGGTCTAATCTGATTTGTAAGGTAGAATTGAGGTTGTGATAGTGGGGGCAAGGCAGCATTGAAGAACTAGAGGAAAACTGTGTGCTTCATCGGTGCTATACTGCACCCTGACTGGCTCATCTATTCCTTGTGACCCTTCTGTGAAGGGATGTCCAATTGTCTACAGATGGGCTTTGGGTCTCCACTCCATACCCCATACACCCCCTCCCCCTTCACATTGGGTATGATTTTGTTCTGGGTCTTAGATCCTGGTACCTGATCGCATCAACACCTCATGATCACACAGGCTGGTGTGCTTCTTCCATGTGGGCTTTGTTGCTTCTCAGCTCGATGGGCGATTGTTTATCTTCCAGCCTTTAAAACTCCAGATGCTATATCTTTTGAGAGCCCTGCACCATTAGCTTTGTTCACCACATTTGCTTATGCACCTATCTATCTTTGGTGATCATGTTGGGAAAGTGAGCATCACAGAATGCTGGATTATTAGAACAAAGTGTTCTTGTGTTGAGGGAGTACTTAAGTTGAGGCCCAATGTCCATCTGCAACCTTAATTCCTAACATATAGATATAGGTACATAGATCTATTCCCCTCTCGTCATTATATATAAATGTTTACATATGTACATGCCTGTATTTAGACCTCCATAAATGTCCTTTGCCTCCTGGTTCTTTCCTCTATTTCCCTTTACTCTGAAAGTGGATTTTTGAGACTCAACTATCATCCATAGCCTTCTGCAAAGTAGGGGCTCAGATTTTTCACTCTTATATAGTTCCCTCCTCTGGTTTTGGATTGTCCATTAAGGGTCATGGAGCACCATTGTAGGAATGTCTGCTGATTTGGTGTGTCTATGGAACAATGCTCTATGTTAGAAAAGTACTAATCTCTTCCTCCCAACAAGAAGAAAAACTGAACCCAGTTGAGATATAGCCTTTTCTGTTGAAATGGATGCTAGCCACCTAGAAGATGCAAATCAAAACAACAAGGAGATATCACCATACACCACCAAAAATAGCCCAATTAAAAAAAACAACAATGATAACCCAGTTAAAGTACACACACACTCACACAAAAAATAAATAAATGAAAAACAGAAAACAACACTTGCCTGAGATGGTGCAGAGAAATCAAATTCATATGCACTGCTAGCAGGCATATAAACATGTACAACCATTGTATAAAGTGATGCTAATATAACTTGGAATGGAAAATCCATATGACCTAACAATACCTCTGCTGGGTACAGACCCTAAAGAAGTTAGAGCTAAAACATAGAGAGATGTATGCTTTCCCATGTTCATTGCAGTACTGTTCACAATAGCAAGAAGCTAGAAATAGCCCAAATGCCCTTTAATAGAAAAATGAATAAAGAGACCCTGGTACATACACACAATGGAATACTATGCATTCTAAAAAATCAAAAAAACAAAACCAGTGTTGAAACCAGGAACATGCCATGACATGGAAACCCCCAATGCTCTATAGATCTATAGATGTTTAGGAAGGGGGGCTGTTTAAATGTGTTGTCTAGCTTTTCTGTTTCTTTTTAAAATTTCTTTCCTGATGATCTTTCTTTCCTTGAGGAGTGATGCTTTGCTTTGAAATCTCCTACTATTATTGTCAAGCTATTCATTTTTCTCTTCAACTAAGTGAGTGTTTGATTGATGTTTTTAGAGTGTCTTTCACTGGGGCCATATATCTTTATTATGGCTCTGTCTTGTTTCTTTAATCATTATCATTACGTGGTGCTCATTCTTGCCTCTCATTGGTAGATTTGCCTTGAAGTCCATTTTATCAGAAATTAATATTGCCGATCTAGTTTTTTATGGTTGTTATTGACTTGGTAATTTTTTTTCCATCCTTTGATTTTATTCCTATTTTTGTTTTTGAGTTTAACTTGTGAATCTTGTAGGCAGCATATAAGTGGGTCTTATTTTCTGATCAAATCTGCTGCTCTCTGTCTCTTTATTGGTGCATTCAATCCATTGACATTTAGTGTTATTATTGATGTATGTGAATTTGTTGTTGTCATTGTGCTGTTTGTTTGTTTGTGGTTTTATTGGTGTCTTTGTTCTTTCTAATTCTCTGTTTTCACTTTTAGGGAAGAATGTGAACTCACTCTCCCATCACCACTTTTGCAGTTGAGTTTCCCACACGTGGAGACATTGTAGGGGTCAGCCCTTCTGGAGTACAATGGATAAGCCTCACTGTGGGAAACCACCCTCATGATCATGGTATCTCCCCTGCTTCCCTGAAAGTGACTGATCGCGTCTGTGTTGTTGTGATTGTTCTTTTTATTGTACCAGGTTCTGAGCAGTGTTACCCTGTATTTGTCTCCCTGGTTTTCTGCCATTGGTTTGTCCAGTTTCAATGCTGTTGATTCGCTGTCCATAGTGATCCCATTAATATTTTTTACAATGCTGGTTTTGTTTTTGCCAACTCTTTTAATTTTTCTTGTCTGAAAATTCTTTATTTCTCCCTTGTATTTGAGGGATAATTTTTCAGGATATAGAATTCTTAGTTGATACCTTTCCTTTTGGGTTATAATTGATTTTTTAATTTTAATCTAAAAATTTTTATTGGCACAAAATGTGCATATCATTCAATTGAATAGTTCAATCATACCAAGAGGATTTGTACAATTACCAAAACCAACTTTAGAACATTTTCTTCTTTCTTGTATTCATTGTTATTAGCATCCCATTACCCACAACCTCCCTTGCCATACCCCCAAGACACCAATAATCCAGTTACTCTCTCTCTAGATTTACCTCTCCTGGATTTATACACTGAAAAACATAAACCAAAGCTAAAACAAAAAACTAACAATAACAAAATAAAACATAGTAAAATGCAATCATTAAGAAAGTAGAAACTAATAAAAACTAGAACAATGTTAAAAAGAGTAAAAGGGAAATCAAATGATAGTTGTTAACTTATAATATAACTATATCTGACGTAATCCACTTCCCGATGCACTCTACACGATAGCAAGGCTATTCACATCCCTCCTCTCTGGTCAGAGGAAATTCCCTGGACGTTTAGTCCATGTGCATTTCCCATCCACTTTTTTTTTTCTTCAAACTGTCACAACTTTTAAGTGAGTCAAAAGAAGATTAGAGGAAAACTGTATGTTTCATCATTGCTACACTTCACCCTGACGGCCTCATCTCCTCCTGAGCCAGTCAGGGTGAAGTGCAGTAATGATGAAACATACAACTTTCCTCTAGTTCTTAAATGCTTCCTCGCCCCCACTATCATGATCCCAATTCTACCCTACAAATCCAGCTGGCAAAGGATGTACACTGGTACAGATGGGAACTGGAAGCACAGGGAATCCAGGGCAGATGATCCCTTTAGGACCAGTGGTGAGAGTGGTGATACCAAGAGGATGGAGGGAAGGTGAGGGAGAAAGGGAAAACAGATTACAAGGATCTATATAGAACCTCCTCCCTGGGGGACGGACAGTGGAGAAATGGGTGAAGGGAGAAGTCAGCCAGTGTAAGATATGACAAAATAGTAATAATTTATAAATTATCCTGGGTTCATCGGGGAGGGGGCAGCTGGGAGGGAGGGGAAAATGAGGAGCTGATACCAAGAGCTCCAGTAGAAAGCAAATGTTTTGAGAATGATGAGGGAAACAAATGTACAAAAGTGCTTGACATAATGGATGTATGTGTGGATTGTGAGAAGAGTTGTACAAGTCCTCAATAAAATGATTTAATTACTTATTTTTTAAACTAGGAGATTAAATAAGATTTTAAATTTCAACCTAGCTGTATCTACCAAATCATCTTTGCAATCCTATCTGTCTGATAACAAGGTCATTCAAATCCTTCAACTATGATAGAGGGGATTCACCAGTGGCTTAGTTAATATTTGAATTTTGTGAAAGAATTTGGGGCTTCTATTGTCTACCATCACCTTCTTCAAACTAGGTGTTCACAATTAAGCTCTGATATCATTCCCTCCTTCAGATTTGGATTTTACGATTTACAATGCATGGATCACACCGGGTGGTGTGCTTCTTCAATGTGGATTTAGTTGAAACCTCACTTAAACAGCTGCTTGATTGAAAACGAGCCTTTAAGACCCCAAATGTTATTATTTCTAACAGCTTGGCCCCATCTAGTTTCTTAATCACACTTTGCAATGGCACTCATATCTTCAGTGATCTTTTCATGATGGCAAGCATCAAACAGGGTCTTGTAAGTGTGAGTCCCCAAACCAATCATATTTCTATGGTTTTATATGTCTCTGACTCATATTAGAGACATCGTTGTCATTTTACATTGGGGAACATTATCAACTATCTCTCTGGGTCATAAGTCAATCTATTGATAGTGTCATTAATTTAACCAATGCTATAGAATTTAAAGCACAGTAGAGAAAGGAAAGTATGCAAGAACTGTCTGACTATGAACCACAATAAATGAAGTGTTGACCTGTATAGATTAAACTCTCAAGTGACGGGACACTATTTACACAAGCAATGGAGATCGGTGATAGGCAAAACTTTAAATAATATTCACTATCAGTGGCAGAACCAAGCCAACCAGACTAATACAAAATAAAGGAGGGCATTAGAATCATATATCAAGAAATCAGCCCAGCCCAGTCAACCTCATACTGGTGACAAGACGTGGTGCTACATTCATAACCCAAAAAGCAAACATCAGTCAAGCCAGGGGAAGAAGCTATGGTCACCTCGCCGCAACAAAAAACCAAAACCAAAAAACCTCACAAAGTGAAATCAAAGGTCAAGATGGTGCTTATTTGTTTTTTTTTTTATGTGAAGGACATAGTGCATTTGGAGTTCGTTCCTCTAGGTCAGACTGTTGATTCGGCTTTCTATTTAGAGATCCTGAAAAGATTGTGTAAGTGTGTGACCAAAAAAAAGTCTTATTTGTGGCAGAGGGGGAACTGATTTTTCCACCAAGACAATGCACTTACTCATGCAGCCACCTCTGTGTGCCAGTTTTTGGCAAAAAACACCAGGCCTCTCTTTCTCCCCTGAATTTTCTCCATGTGACTTCTTTTGGTTTCTGAAAATGCAGAGGGACAGCGATTTGACAAAGTAGAACAGGTGAAGAAAACAAGTAAACAAACAAACAAATGAGGAGGTGCCGTCAGCCATCCAAACAGATGAGTTTGAAAACCGTTTCCAAGTTGCAGATCTGACAACTGTATTAAATGTACTGGAGAGTACTTTGAAGGTGATAAGGTTGTTTTGTAAAAATATTTGAATACATAGCTTTGGGGAAAAAATCCTTTTTTTTTTTTGGTATCCCCTCATATATCAGTTAAATTTCATCTCAGTGCCTTCCCTGCTCTTTAAGTAAAATTGCCACATGGAGAATCTTAAAGATGTTGGCTGAATGTATGTGTGGTATCGGTCACAGATCTACAGCTGAAAGGCCTGAAGGGTCTTACTCCGGTTGCAATCCTGCCACCAACTAGAAGTGCCTCGGTGGTTTCCATATTTCTGAAAGTTGGGAATTTTAGGAGATGATGTCTATAAGCCCCTTGTAGGGCAAAAGTGTTGTGGTTTAGATGAATGGTTATAACTGTTCATTGGCTTTCAGTTGGCTCCAACTTATGTATAACGAAATAAAATGTAGCCAAACCTGCGTCATCTTCATGATAATCAGTTTGGATGAGTCTACTGTAATGGCTATGATGAAGTGTCTTTCACCTTGGAAGCCTTCCTTTCCAAGAGCATATTGGACATAGCTATTTGATCTATATGATTTTCTTCATCTAATTAAAAAAAATAGAACATCAGGTCTTTCTTCCAAATCTTTCTTAGTCCATAAAGTTTCACTGAAATGTGTCCACCCGGGTAAGTGCTGGTTTTTGAAATACCTTTTAGCATGAAAGGTATAGGAGACCCACAATCTAACCAACTGAGAGATGGAAGCTGGTCAGATTAATGAGCCTATTTCCATGTAGCCCATTCGGACTCAAACACTTTCGAACGCTGTCATCGCTATGGACGTCGATCGCCTCATCCTTTTCTCAAAAAGAAGATGTTAGTTTGGAACTGCTGACTCTCCTGTTACTATACATTAGTCCGTCTTGGTTGCTGGACTCGCCAAAAGATGCCCAATGCAGTGAGGTGCTTTATCATTTGCATCTCGAGATAAATTATCGAAGAGTGGATTGAAAAGTAAGCACCCACTGAGCAAACACAATAAACAGCTAATAAAATATAAACACGCAACTCTTCATACAGATGGTGGATAGATACAGCCATGTATCTGCAGAGATAACTCTGAGTCAGGCAGGCAATCATCAGGTGGGGCAGAATTCAATCAGGAATATCGAATCTCTTCTAAACCAAGTTCCAAGAGATTATATGCTTTGGTATTAAAGGAAGGTAGCTAAAAGGACTGAATAAAAATAAAAGAAAAAGACAATTAGTGTATAAGAGTCCACTTATCCCAGATCCAAATTACAAGTGGGTTGTTCCAAAACTATAGGTATAAGCCAGGTATTGAGACATAGGAGTTCATGTTACTTATGTTATTATTCACAATGTTGGGGAACATAGAAGAGGAAGGTAAAAAGACATCCATTTTTTGTTAAGTTGCTGTAGTGCTTGCCAGTAGCACTACAGGCCAATACGACCTGTGTTCTCCTCAGGTCCCCGGGTGATGCAAATGGGGAAAGCACTTTGTTGGCAACCCCAAACTGGTGATTAGAGCCCACACAGAAGGTCCTGTGAAGAATGAGCTAGGGATATGCTCCGTTGGAAATCCTAAGTCACACAGTTCCATGATAATACACATGAGGTCACCATGAGTTGAGGTTGACTTGACAGTATCTAGTAAAACCCGTGGATGTTCTCATAACCTACTGAACTTGGGTGTCATAATGCCAATTTCAAAATTCCTCTTGACTTCTAGCGTGTAAACTACTTGCTGCCTGGCTCCTAAGTCAGTCATTTAAAGCGTGTGGCACTTTCAAATGGAAGCATCTCAGCTCTTTCCTCCAACACCAGCTACAGAAAAGGAAATATCATTCTGAATATATCATCCCTTTCCACGAAAACCAACAGTAATGCAACCCCCACCTCCCCACCCCATAGACATGACTGCTTTCTTCTTCTTGTGGCTTCTATCCCGGGTGTTATGCACTGCTATGCCCCACTCTAAACAGAACGTTCCTGAAGGTTTTCGTGAGACTTGAGACTTCTTTCCTGTTTGTTTGCTTGCGAATAATATCCGTTGGGAATATCTGAGGAATTATCAATCCAATT